CTCTAGTAGCCCCTTTTAGTGGTAGATGTCCATTTAGGCAGTACTTCCCGCTAACACAGACAAGTATGGCATGAATATGGTGGCTATACGATTGTTAAAGTTTTTATCCAATAAATGGCATATCATATGTAGAAAAAGGAAATGAATATAAAAAGATATATGAATTAGTTGCTATTGTTGAATCATAAAAAGCGTTGTAAATGGTGATACTTTTTTACTGATTTTAAATTATCTTTGTGGTTATTATAAAAAGGACTGATACTTAGTACTATAAGAAAAAATAAGATTCATTCCTGCATGCTTTATTCCTAACAACGATAGAGTAAAAAATCTTCTATTTTTTCGGTTTGTATAAAGACATGATGTCAGTTGCCTCCGTGCTTAAAAAGGAAAAAGCAATGCAGTAATATTTCCTTCAACCATGCATATGACACCGACAATAATAGACATACAAAAAAGAAATTATACTTTTATATAATGCAATCAAAGGAGGCATGAATGCACTATACCAATTAGTGCATGAGTCTATGTCTATAAGAAAAGCAATTCGTTGGCCTTTGGCCTTTTTTATTAATATTTCAAACTGCTACGGTGTTGCAGCTTATGTATTTTTTTAAAAAATGATCTTAATATTAATAAACATAAATTAAGATGAATTTAAATAAAAGAACTTGCAAAGAGTATTTTTCATATATACTGAACGAACGCAGAAATTCTGTCGATTTACTTGAAACAACAACAGTCCTGCGGAACAAAGTTGTCAACGCTCCATCAAAAGAAAGAAGACCAATCGAGTGACGAAGAACCAATAAATAAAAAAGGAACTACATCTGTGCCCTACAAAAAAAATTAAGAATGCAAAAGAAACGTTGCGATATATGTAAAAATAGTTTATGCAACGTACATTGCCTAAGGACTCTGATATGTAAAATATGTAAATATCGTAAAAATTTTAATTTTAAATCCTTTAATTCCTTTAATATTTTTTTTTCTTACTTTATTATAAAACTAGGTGTGAGATAGTAAAAACTAAAAGCAAGGGTTCATCAAAATCTAATGAAGAGTCTCCCGCACGCACCTTAGCCGGTTGTGTGATATAAATAGTTTATCCGGACAAAAATAAATTCGAGTGATACGGTTAGTTGTAATGTAGAATATAAGTCTTGAAACTTTGCAAGTACAGGGTGCTTTAAATTTGTACTAAATAAATATTTTATTGTTCAATTTTCAGCATGTTGAAGATGTTTTGTAGCAGGCGCTCTTTAAGAACTATAAATAACTTATTTTTAAGTCTCACAAGCAATTTTTAAATGGGACCCACGTGATAAATAAACTTTGTCTTTAACATAATTTCATAGTTTCATTAATATTACGCGCGAATGTCAAAAAAAAAGAAAAACCGCTGCTAGAAGGTTCTGACAAGCTATAAAACAGTAGCGTTTGCGCTAGAATTTTTTTTTTAGTTGGGTCATAGTCAAGTTCACCGTGATGTTTGGAGTTGCACTGAAAAATACATTGGGCCGGTTACATATTGCTGGTAACAATGACGACAGAAGAGACCACCTCTGCGATTAGCAAAAGTAGCAAGCAATAATGCCAAACGAACGCGAAAGACGGGGATTGCGTAGGAAGTGGAAGGTTCATGAGGCAGCCAGTTCACGCAGCTTGGCGCAGAAACCACGGTGAAAGACAAGATTAAGAGCCTCATTATCGCCTAGAAAGACGCCTTTTGTGCTCTTCAAAATTAATAAAACCGAGTTGTACACTTAAGAAAGGCAATAGCTGTGTCCTAACCAAAAGTAGGGTTAAGACAATATATCGCGCGGGTCTTATCTTCAGTTTGCACAGAGTTACAGACTTGATGGTTTTTTCATTGCCGAGAGCAGGGTATTTAGGCGATGCGTACTGGGGTATATTCGCCTCTAAAAGCACCAACTCTTAGAAAAAGCCCTACACAACGTAGAATTACGGAAACAGTTCAGAGGTCATCGGTACCAGTATCATTTGTGACATTTCGTTGGTGATGCTGTGGGTGTTGTATGCCTTTAAACGCAGCAGTGCAAAGTCACAAATGATTTTATAATTTATGCTTGGTTTATTAGGCCTCTAAGCACCGGCTAAGAGGCTTACGGCATCCTGCCACACCCCTTTTATAACCGCAAACAAGCAACCCGCATTAAGAAGCAAGACCCCTGAGGAGTAATCCCTTTTCTGCTTTCATTCAGAACTACGCCGCTATTAGATTCAAGCAACTCACATAAACCAAGGCATTACACGAATTTTTATAAAGACCCCCTCTTTTATTCAACCTTTTAATCCTTAACCTTGGAATTCATCAATATTAAAAGTTTACGAAGAGCTTTATTCTATAATGAACGTAATCCACTAAAAAAGTCCGTATATTTCCATTCTATTAGTTACTTTTGATGACCACCCTTATAAAGTACAAACAAATTCTTTAATTGTATTCTTTCTTAGCTAGTCTATTATAGAATATTGGAAAATTTGTACCAACTATAATTTTCTATAATTTTATTTTTTTTTAAAAATATAAATCAAAGTTTCTTTTTTGATTATACAATAATTTAGGGCATATAGTCGTTGACTATAATTTATAATTTATTTGATGACTTTTTGACCTAAGGGGTGATGGAAACAGATTAATAGTATTGTTAAGTTATTTTTTTTGAGTATATAGATCGAAACTTAATATTATAATTGCAGTTTCTATGTACAATAAAAGTACACCTTATTATTTATTTTATAATACAAAAATAGTAAAGTGCACTTGGGAGATATTTATTGACAGCTCTACCGTATAGTTTCGGCACTAAGTAAAGTTATTTACCGCGTTAATTTTATCTTCGATGCTTTGCTTTTTATCTGAACGACTTCCTAGGCGAATAGTTGATTCGACTCGAACGGCTCCCGTATCGTGTAAATGAAGATGAACCTTTTCAATATTGATAATAGTGATATTGATATCTACTTATTAAATTAATGTAAAATACATCTTTAATTGCTTTCATAACAGCGTCAAAGTCTCCTTCAATGTTAGTTCCACAAGCGTGTAAATGCGTAGGCAGACCTGTCCTCTTTATTATTGCAAAAGCGGTCGCTATCTTTTAAGAAATAACAGTGTATAAATGAATGTTATGACATTTTCTGGCAACCATAACTTAGTTTAAACTCGTAAAGTTTTAGTTTTAATTAAATTTAACCTCTTTTCTAATACTGGCACTTTTTCTACACATCAATGGAATAAAGCTCACATCTGCAATTATTTTCATTCTCAGTACTTACACCAAACGATCAATAACTAACCAAAAAGTTTCTGGAGCTAAGATGTAAATATGGCATAACTGATCTATGATGCAAGTTACCTAATTTGTACTTTAAAATTTTTAGTAAATTGCGACTTTATTCAGAAGATCAACTATTTCATTAATGAGTCGCCTTGCAGGTCTATAACGATACAATTATAATTTTTTTTTACCCTAATGTAGATCGCAAAAAAACTTATATATTTATTATCTCTGAGACTCAGCTTAAAGAAGGGAAAAAGATTTGTAATTCTACCTACCATACAGATAAAGAGACAGAGTCAACTCGTTTTACGAGGAAATAATCTTTATTAAATATATATATTACTTTCTTGCGTTAATTGTTTAAACTTGCAGTAATAAAGATGGTTGGAATATAACTACAGGTTAAAAAACTGACCATATCGTTGTATTTTGTATACAACTCTAAAGTTTGAAATTTAATGGTGAAATAAATTGTTTCGCACTCTATACTTTCAGATTTTATAATCGTAAATAAACTTTATGGGGAAAATGATTTATAAGGTAACTGTGTATTAAACATTTCTATAGGCAACAAAATAACTTTTCCGTTAAAATATCTCGGTATCACACGCCTTTTGTTGGAACATCTCTTTTTTTACTTCAACCTCGAACAGAGACCTCAAATTTTTTAAAGAATTGTGCGCCAGAGTTCCCGCCTAAACTTATAATCATTTCATTTAATTCATATTGGATTACCGTAAAATTGGTAGTTAGTAACCGAAGTCCCCTTAACTATTCTGTTCCTCTAAAAATTTAAAAATATTAATTAAACGTAGAAGGCTTTAATCATTCAACTAATTTCTAAAAAGCAAAAAGGACTCTAATAGACTTAAAAACTCAGAAAGTCTCTTACTTCCCTCTCTATTGTTTGTATTCCTTTAGCTCGTTACGCAGACGCCATTGCTAGTTTCGGTAGCTCTAAGCCTTTCAACCTTAATCGCCTGCAAGCTTGCCTTAATTACCTTTGAGGACGGTGGCAAACTCAATTTAAAAAAAAAAATTTTTTTTTAATACTGTAGTCATATTCAATGCAGTTGCATGAGCTTAATATTTTCAGGATGTTCCTAGAATGACTCACTATCATAGTTGGGTGATCAAATCGTAAATATATGTACACTCGAGGTAAAAATAAATGTTTATAAATTTATTAGACAACATAGATTATATACAATATTAGGCTGCTTCCTTATCACACAACCACTTAACCCGGTAAGCGAGGAGCAGAGAATGTTTGTTACCTGCGGTAGTTCTTCTTTGTATTGATTATTACCTGATAAAAAATGCTCGTGGCTACAATAAAACCAGAAGTAAACCCCAGATAGTAATTTTTAGCAGTTTTCAACTACAAATAGGAAAAAACCCACCCTATTTTTCTCTGTTGCTTCCTACTCCCACATTAAGTAAACTGGTAGGCGACTGTATTTGAACGCTTCTAGTAAAGGCGAATGAAATTTTACAATAAAACAGTTTAAGGTCTTGTAAGAGGCCGATCATAGCAGGGCATATTTTAACTAATGCTCATATATATATAAATAAGCTCGAGGCTCCTACAGAATAGCAGATTTTGAAGAATAGGAATCCTCAAAGAAGGCAAATCTGTATTAATATGAATACATTTACCAGTGCTCTATCGAGTGATTTACTTCGAAATTCGAGCTCTATAACGTAACTGCAGAAGAATATACCTGAACATAAAAAAATTTCTTATTATATTGCAGAATTATTAATTTAATTGAACGTACTTTATATAAAATTAATTTGATAATCAAACTTGCCTGCCAGCTCGCCTGGCTCACTTTTATAATGTATTTTAAAACTTTAAACAACATAACGGTCACAATTTAGTAAGCATGCGAGCAACAGTAAACAGTAGAAAGGGGACAATGCGTGTTATAAACGGTTGAAACAGAGTACGTACATCCCAATAGGAAAAAAAAAAAGAGAAAAATATAAATTTGATTAAATGACTGTTGATTATAACTTTTTTAAGGACTTCTGCACGTCTCGGAAATCTCGAGTAGACCCCTTAATTTAGAAAATTATTTTCACAGGGTAAATAATGTCTTACAGAGTTTTTGCGTACAACGTGTCCGCACATAGAAAAATCAAGAAAAATAAGGTTCGAATCACTTTCTGAAGAAAATCTTGAAGACGCAGAATACCAGACTACGATGGCCCTTTGCCGTCTATGCGGAGAAAAATTATTATTAATTCGATTCTCTCTAGAGCTAGCAAGGGGAAGTCCTTTGGCGTTGCACGCTTCGGCGAGGAGTCAAGTAGTATGTTACTAAATTGTCAAAGTGAAACATGACCTTGAAGAAAATAACTCTCTCTTTCAAAGGTCATTTTTTACGCTTGAGCTATCCTGCATCTCGTTTATGGCATTAAAGATATTCTTGAAAAGAGGGGTCAGAAGCAGCTACACGTTAGGATTCTTTAACCTTAACTCTTCCAAGCTTGAAGTCCACTATTAATATTTCCAGCAGCCTTCACATACGTCTGTACACTGTCAAGAGCTTCAAATGATTGTATGACGAATAAAACGGGAAAAAATTACGGCGTGAGTTACTATAATAGTAAGAAGAAGACTGCGACCCCACTTTTTTAAGCAAGCTTTAAACTATGTTGTGCCCCAATCAGCGACCTTTTTAGGGTCCAAGCTCCATGGGAAAATCTTAAATGGCCCTTCTCCTGATGGCCAGAGCAAAGTGCGTTGGTGACCATAGACAATTTCAGTTTCCTTATTAAACTGGAGAATTTTTTTGTGCAAGTTTACGCTGAATGTATCCGAATCGTCCCCCAAATATTGGATTTAATCCAAACTTGGTATCCTTTTTTTTCAAATTTTTGTTTTCTGTGAATAATAAATTTTCTTGTGAAATTGCGCTTTCCATTGTTACGGAAACCTATATCCTAGTAGAATTATTTATAGCAATGTTACTTTTCTAGGGCTCTTCATACATACAGTCCACCACTCAAAGACCTCAGCATTCTATGATAAGACGTTTTTTTATTAATTTTACAAACGTATATTACTATATTTTTGAATCTTTCTATAGCGATAGGCTTTACTTCGCCGGCCTCTCCACCTCCTGCGTTTAGCACGCCTGCTCTTAATTATTATAATTCGAGTATTTATTCAGGAAACATGGGATCAATTGGTTTTCAAGCTGAAGTCAGTCCAACTGAGCCCGCTGGAGCGGCCCCTCCGATTTCTAATCCAAATTATATACGTTATTCATCTAATGACAGCTTAAATTATCACAATAATAATAGCTATTCTAATAATAACACTGTTTATAAAAATTATGAAACACCATCAGATAACAACTATAGTAATAGCGGTAGATGCAAAACAAGTGGCTATGTGAGTTTTGATGATAATAAATATTATAGTAATCCAATTTTTCGATCTTCCGGTTATGCAACTGGTCATAGTAAATTTGTAAATTTTGTTCCTAATAATCCCCAAGTACAACCTTACGGCCCTATAACCCCCACTTATACTCCTGTTGCAAAGGAGGTTTACTACTCAAAAGTCGGGTTGTTGTCGTTAAGGACAGCAGTGGAGGAGGTAAAAAAAAAAAAATTAAAGACAATGTTACTTTTCAATATTAATTTTATGATACTTTTAAACACTTTAATTTGTAAATTTCAATTGCTTTCTATTATAATACTATGAATTTTAGTTTTTTTAATAGTTTGCGTATATTGATAAACTGTTGTTTGTATGTGATCTATTATTTTAAAAGCTCCAAAAGAATATTTAAAAAAGTTAACTTTAAATATTTGTGTGATCTTTTAAAGCACTTGTAAAGTTTCTAATCTTCATAAGTTAATTATATAGTATTTAAATATTTATTTTATTGAATATTTCTCCGCTTTAATCTTTTTTATTTTTATACTTTTTGTCTTGCCAACTAGATATAATTTAAGTTTTTCTTTTTGTTTTATAACTTAAAAATTAATTCTCAGTGTTATTTATTACTGGAGGCCGAATTTATAACTTACGGATTAAAAGTTTGATTTTAGCATTATTTAAAGTTTGTTGACTTTTTTTATTAATTATTATTAATAAATAAAGTTAATAATTTATATTAGAGTAAGTTTGAAATGGTTTTTATAAAAATCTATTTTATGGAAAAAAATTTTAACTTCGTTTTAACAACTAATTTGAAAAATTGTTATATTTGTTTATTAAATTTATTTAAAAGTTGAATTCGTTAATTCTAGTTAATAGTAAATTTAAAAAATTTATGAAAATTTTATTACTACGTATTATTAATATGTGGCTGGCAAAACTCATTTTTTATTTTATTTTTATAACTTATTTTAATTATATATTAATACTTGAAAGAAAATTCAACGTTTTATAAAAACCGCTGAAGTTTCTCTTAATCTGATTTCCCGTTCTGCCATTATCGATTCGGTTATAGACGAGATGCGTCAGTTGGCGGTTTGACTTTTACATTCTTTTTTATTTTTTGGTAGGCTGGGGAATGTTATATATCGCCAGAGGATATACGTTTTCAATTTATGTTAATTTTTGGCTGTTGTGCTGTAAAAAGTATTAAATACTTTTTAAAATGATCACTTCACTGCGCTACTCATAGTACTAAAGTTGGCGTCAAAATTTTTTTAAATATTTTTTATAAAATTATATATTATTATTATAACTACTATTTCCTACTAGAAAGTATACGAGAGTGAAGGCCGCAAATACGAAACGGAGACGCACAAACTTTTTACTAAACTGAATAACATCAGCCACCTTCCCGTTGATGATGTTGTTATAATAAGCACTCCTTTGCATAAACAGTTACTTACTATATTGATTAATACTATATATAATATTATTAAGCATAAATGCGAACAGGATTGTTAATAAAGAATGCGAGATTAAAACTATTGAGGATGTTACTTATCTTCTTAGTAACGCTCTGAATAGAAAAGCAATAAACTTTACTGACTTTATTGTGGTATTAAAGAATTATCACTCTTTTATTGGTGGATAGCTTTCTATAAACTGCTAACATGAGCCTTTTGGGGTCCCGCCATTGGTGGTGTTGGGTTTATTGAGCTGTCTATACGATTTTTGATTGGTTTATATCCTGTTGTCGACATCCAATAGCAATCCTTTATGCATGCCATGTGTAATTTGCCCATGACTAGGGAGACTTAATCAAAAACTTCCAGCTTTTAGTTTTTTCTTTAAGAACTTCTTGCTAGATTTTGTTTCCATTAAATTTTTTAAGAAATTTTTTTTTGTGGATCTTCAACCCTCTTGCTTTGTACAAGAGATAGTTGCCCTTCACGAGCTTTTTTTATAGTAACCCCAATGGCGACTCGCTTACTGATTCATAACGAGTGGCCCCATGGTGGAAATTTAATAGTATTTTGGTTATTTTTTTTAACATTTGATTGTTTTTCGGCTACTCTTTTTTTATTTTATATTTTTAAGCAAAAATTTTAATTTATTTTTTAAGTAACTTTTTTTTAAAATTACTTTTTTTAATGTAATTAACGTTTATAGACTGTTCGAAAAAAGGCTCACCAGTTGTTCCTATCAAAAGCTTTACTATTACTTGCAAAGGAAAAAGCGAAGCAATTGAAGAATAAAAATGTTTGATTTCGTTTAATAAATATTCAAAGTTTTATAGAATTTAGTAATTTTTATTTAAGATTTTTTATTTTTATTTTTATTAGAAGCTTCGTATATACTTAGTTTACTAAAAAAAAAAAGGATTTTAAGTTTTTACCGCTTTAAATAAACATAAATTAAAAATTATCAAACTTTTCACAGTTGTGGAAGTTTACTTAAAGATCTCGAGTAAGAAATTTTTGTGATAATAATGTCGCTTTTTCTTTAGGATTTACCAGCTTCAGAGCTCTTTGTAATTAATAAAACTAACTTAGAGCTTTTATTAAAGCGTGTTTGAAATCAGTTCTTCTTACCTTTTTAAAGTCTTACAGACTTATCAGCATTTCATATAGATAAGTATCAATAAGATTCAAGCGTAATTAAATAAAAAGGACCTAAAATTTTATTTTACTTGCTTTGAGAAAGGTCAGTTTAAAAGAGTTAAATAGAAACTTTCAAAACTAACCATTTTAAAAAAAAAACAATTTCTAATTTTAAAAAGTTTTAAGACTAATAAAGAAATCAGTAACTTCTAAAAATTAATTAAACGAGAATCAGTTCGTCTACAACTAAAAAACTGAAAGAAGCATCAGTTTTGTAATAGTACAAACTAAATCTCCAAACATTTAAACTGATAGATTCTGTTAGCACTACGAATTGGCTATAAAAAATAAAAAATTCAAACCAAAACATTTTTAATTTATAAGTTAAATTTTTGCTTAAGTCCTCCAAATCAACTTATTTTAACCCAATAATAGTTTTTAGTAGCGAATAAAAAGAACGTATGTAGTTAATAATCTCTCGTTTAACGCTTTTAAAATATAATTCAAAACAAAGTTTTTCAATGAAACAAAAAAAAATATATTACAAATCAAAATAATAAAGCGACTTTAATTCCAATACAAATTAATTAAGAGATCGATTTACTTAACAGCCGAAGTTCCAAAACAAAATTAACTTTAGAAAACATAAAAACTCTAAAACAAATAATTTTTAAGGCCAACTTGCTAATATAAATATCTTTTATAGCTTTACATAAAAATATATCAAAAATCAAGATAATGATGAAACAAGCTAAAAATTAAATAATTAAAATTCGTCTCCTTAATTTATTTTCGTTTTGAATAAAATTTTCTACCAATTTTTAGTTTCGGAAGATTCAAATCTTTCACAGATCTTCTTAATTCCTTTCTTTCTTTTAAATGCTCTTTTTGAGCCTTTAATGAATAAAATAGTAATAACAAGTAAATTAAATTAAATTTAAAATATATGAAATACTTTTTCTCTGGCGAGCACTTCTTTACTCTTCTGAGGCTGGATAGTAATAACTCGGTTACGAATAGGAGCCAGCGTGGTTGTCTTTTATTATTATTATCATTAGTGGTAGTAATATATAATTTTTTGAATATTATTTTCGTAAACTACAAAATAATCTATAAACAACTTCACTTTATATATATGATGAGAACCTCCTCTTCCTCTGCTTGAGCTCGAATACCTAAAGGTGCCTCCTGCAACTTCAGTTTACTAGCAATACTTTCAAGTTGGACAATGTCTTCCGTAAATTTCACTCCATCTTTAAGTTCGTACATTTTGGGAATTCTAAATAACAATATATATCGTAGGCGGTGATATTTTTTAAAGAAATAACAAATTTTACTATTTAATTAAAAAAAACTCAAAGTTACATTATAATAGGCCCTAAATAATATTAATAATGCAATATTCCTTAATAAAAAGCCAGTCTTTTTAATTTTATAATTTAAATATAAAATATAAAAACAAATTAGAAAATTAATATACCAAAATCTTACTACCAGAATTTTCACACAAACGCTAACAGAAAAATTTATATTAATACTTCTTGATTCAATTTTTTTATAATATAAATTAACAATTGATTAAACCAAATTTAAAATTGATTTAATATTTTAATTTTGTAATTTAATTTAAATCCTAACAAAAATTTACTATAAAAATTGTAATGAACCGGAAATGTATAATTAGTTTAATTGTTATACTTTTTTCTAATAATAACTTGGCTCAAGAAGGTTACACGTAGATTAAAATATTAATGATTATTTAAAAGAATTTACACCTTAAATTTATTTCGTCATCCTCAAGAATTTCGGAAGAACTAAAGCTTTCCTTCAGTTAAGATAAATAATGTAAATCCAACCAAGTCATATATAAAAGTTATAATAAAATTAAACCATAATAAATTTATATAATATTATTATTATTAATAAACTATAGTATTTATCAGTAACAGGTTGAAATTGTTCCTCCACTTTGATAGCATCTCGCCGACGATGTCTTAATTTATAATCTTCACTTTCGACATCAATCTCAAAATCGGCATCATTCCAAAGAGATTTGAAGCGTTCATCGTGTAGAAGTTCGCTTTTCTATAAAAATATAATAACAAACAGCAATAAATAATAAATAATAAAAGAACTGGAGGCTTCTCAGAGGAGCGATCTCTCGATTCCAATAATTTTAGGGCCAACTTTTTATTAACTTTTGGAAGCTTCTTTACAACTCCAATGCGGTTTTCTCTTTTTTCTTGAAGCTTCTTTTCGATTTGTGCTTTTCGGTACTGCTCATACAAAAACGGCTGTGTGGCAGAATAGACTTCCCGATAAAGTCTTGAAAGTAACAAACTAATAAGCTTGACCCGCCAAATAAAGGTTAAATATAAACTGCCATGTAAACTAATAAAACAACAAAGCGAACTAAAAATACAAAAGGTGCCCAAATATAAAAAACGTTCGACTAAATAATATTTGAGCCATTTAGACAAAGTCTGCCAAATTATAACCTTTTATTAATGAAAAAACCGTGCATGTACGGGCGCAGATGGTTCGAGCCAATGAGCGACTCCAAGCCGAGTTGAGCCAACTCGCTGCGCTCGATAAACTAGAAAAAAAATACTTATTTAGTCGTGTAAAGTAAAAAGGTAGCATCCGAAATAAAATAATAAAAGCAAATAACTTACTTTATAGTCTTCATATATCGAATTTGTATAGTTTTCTTCAAGTTCCTCTGTAATCCCGTCTAAATGATGGCACCATTTCGGGGCTGATTAAAAATTGGTAATATAATATTGATGATGATGATAACAGTAATAATTCTAATATTTTCTAAGATACATTAAACCAAAATGAATACCACTGCCCAAATCAGGTATATAAAAAACATTCATTTTCGGAGTTTCATTGGCGGTAAGAATGAGCCCAGAACTACCGGGAATGCAGAAGTCATTTAAATCCGCTAAGTAAATAGTGAACAAATTCTTTATAAAATTAAAAACACCAATAAAAGATTAATGCAACTAATCAAAACAGGCCATTAAACTATTGCAAAACACGAACAGTGATCGGTCAGTTACAATAAAAAAGTCATAAAAGGGCAGCAAAGAATAAAAGTAAACTAAATTACGTCTACGAGCATATATGGGCACGAAATATTAAAAAATATTTAAACTCTATCAACAAAATGCATCCATTTCTAGTAAAAGGGCCAAAAATAAAGACAACATCAATAATTAATATGGCCGAACTGGACCCAATAATACAAAAACGTACAGTTCCATTAATAAGGTCAAGTTACGGGAATAACGGAAATTTAATTGAGTATAATTATACTGCCAAATAAAAGTTAAAGAACCCAATTAACCAATTTGGTTTACAAGCCCGCAAGAAAACCTTCAAATTGACCCCAACTATAAAAAGAAGCAAAATAATTGTTAAGAAGACCTTCCTGCTCTACGGAAGTAAAAGAATTTCCCGAAACTTCATTCCAGAATTTAATTACTTTTTTATCGGCAGAAACGATATTTCGAGAATGATAATGAAAAATAATCTTCTTAATCGGAAATTCTTTTTGTTATAGATAAGTATATTTAAGAAAACCACTACAAATTTAATTATCTTGCTCAATAATTAATAAAATTGAAAAAAACTTAAATTATATTATAAATAATAAATTTAATTAAAAAAGTATGTAAAATGTAAAAAGAAATTATGTATAAACATAATTAACTAGTAAAGCATTTTTGAGATTAAAATTGAAAAAAACTATGATAATAAACAACCGTACGGATGCTCTTTTATAAGAAGAGGAATTCTGCTTCGAATGTCATAAAGAAAAACTTTACCAACCGAAGTCCCTACAGCCATTTGCAAACCATCTAGAAAAAATTAATAACAAATTTATAAAAAAACAAACTAAATCTACTTATATGGAAGTTCAAAGAAGAAATTTCGTAAAATTCATTCACAAGCAACCGCCCGCACCTACATAAAATGAAAAACAATAATATGTAGTATATAGAAAAAAGATTTTATATAACACATAAAAGTTTATAGACTACTGGTCAGCAGTGCGGGGATCCCACAATTCTACAAATCCATCAGTGCCACCGGCAGCTAAAAACGAATATAACTGATTGAGAGTACAATTGTTAAATTCAGGGGAAGATCCTTTAATAAAACAGCATTAAATAAATAAATTATATATTATAAGTCAAAAGCCTTTATAAGGCTGCTTAAAGATTCCCTCGTCAAGATTAAGTCGGTAAATTTCTGGCCTGTGTTAAATTTTAATTAGACTTTTAAACTATTTATATATACTACACATAAAAGTTACTGTACCCAGAAGCCACCGAAAACAAGTCACAATTTTCAAAATTATAGCAAAGATCTCGCCCAAATCTAGGAATTCTTGTTTTATAGTGACTTCCGTAAGCAGCATGAACTTCAATGGTACGATCGCTCTAATAAGTTATAGAACATCTGATGAGAATGTATGTTACTTGTTTAAATTAAAAAAAAAATTAGTATCTAATAAACTAATAAATACTGATTGTAATGCATAACGCTTTTATCAATAACATATGACAAAGATATAAATATGAAGATAATAAATAAGACAGTTTTTACCAAAACAACAAAATTAATATTAATAACTTGGTAAAATAATTATAAATATGATAGTAATAATAAATTACCCCAAGTAATGCTAACTTCCTATAGTCTTCAACTAGCATGCAAAGTTTAACAACATCAGCGGAAAGATGACGGGAAAACTTTAAACTTAACTGATCCGTCTCATAGCAATTTATTCGAGGCTTATAAACCCCTATAAAAAGAAGTCGTAGCATAAAATTAAGGCAATATAATAAAGATACCTGTGGCTAGGATATAATTTCCATCTTCTGTAATATTTATATTTGTAGCGGCAGTTGGAAACTCAAAATCTTGTATTAAATTCACTCTCCCTCTTAATTCCGGATCGCTTTTTAAAAGCTTTCTTTTTTTTTTATCTGTGATCCATTCTGGTAAAGTTTTTGAAGTGTTGACAGCATAGACTTTAACGTCATTAATTGAAGAAACTCTCATTTTTTTAAATTAGACTTAAAACATTTTCATGGTAAAAGTAATTACTAAGAACCGAGCATGGGGACATAAAATGTTTCCTTAGTACTTTACCACGTGCTAAATGAATCTCACGTTGCTCCGTCAGCGGTTTTCATAGAAAAAAATTTGCAGTAGTTTCTTGATAGACTCCATCATTTACTTTACACTTCGCATTATCCGACGTTAGGTGATCTTCAGAATGTGTCTGTAGGGGTCGAAGAAGGATGACCATTTATTATAGCTTTTAAGTAAGTTACGAAACCTATATGACACACTGTTATTCAAAAAAAGAATTTTATGGCAGTGACGACGATAGGGCGGCACTCTTCATCAGCCATCTCTACTTTCAGTGCATACATAAGCTTGAGCTATTACTGGAAGCGAAGACAAGATGTTTAGGATAAATTCAGTCCTTACAACCTACGCTTATTTAAGAAGGAGAGCACCCCGTAAGCCCGCCTACCTTCCCTTACGACTCTAACCTCTGTAAGCCTTCCAGTGATACTGCAATGAAACTTTTTTCAATAAAACTAAGATACCCGCACATATTAATATTGTTGAAAAAAAGATTAATTTGAGTATTTTCGAAACATCGAGGGATAGTTTTTTTAATTTGGAGACTCTATCACTTCTTTTCTCTTTTTTTCTTACTAATTTTTCTATGAAAGATTTTTGAAACGAGGCTACAATAGTAAATTCCTAAAAACCATTTTTGGTTCGATACGTTAAAGAAGTTATAGAAAAAATTAAACCACCTCCTCAGAAGATTACGAAGCATGAAATTAAAAGATAACAAAAGAAAAGTTATCTTTAAATCCATATACAACTTAAATGGTGCTAGAAAGAGATTTCTCCGATATACCATCTGCGCTAACGAACTAGAAGAAATCTTTAACTCAAAACCCATAGTAGCATACAAACAACCTTCCAACCTAAAAAGCATGTTTGTCACAAACATTTAATTGGAGAATTAGTTGTTGGCATGTTTTTATAATTTATCGGGATTGGTAAATAAGTTGTTTACTTGCATTTATTGAGGTTTCATTCCATAAACAAGTCGGAAATAGTTGTTTTTTAATTGGACAAAAAAGATTCATTGTATGATCTTCCCACAGTTTTACTGTTTTTGACTTTTTTCTAAAGTATCACAGAGTACAGCCACCGACTGCTACTCAGCCCTCTCGGGCGAAGGTTATACCGAAAAGTTCATGTGTTAGGGTGTATCCCTTTTTATTAAAACCTAACTAAGCTGATTTTAACCTCTTATGAAAGCGCAGGCGAACTTAACAAAGCCCTTCACTCTCACTTTATATGCGTTACCAAAAAGCTCTATAATTAAATTTTTCGTATTGAGCGTATAAGATCAGAAAATCTCAATTTAAATTGCTGTGGCTTAAAAATGACGAACGGTAAACTGTGGAGTAATATGAAAGTATATAAGCGGACTGTTAAGTCTAAAAAACCAAGAGTGAGATAATAAGAAAAATAAGATAAATCGTTTCGATAGTCTTGGCTGTTGAAAACTAATTTCTTACCTTAGAAAAGGAAAATATTGTTACGCTGGGCGCTCGTAACCGTAATGTTAAATTATTTATGATTGAAAGTTGAACTATTTGAAAGTCGTGTTTGAACGTATCAAAACTTGACAAAAAATAAAGCGGTACTGATTAACGAATGTATATTAATAACAGTTAAATCTGTATACACACGAATTGATAGGAGATAGTGGCCTTATTGTGTCTCTGGAGGGTAATTTAAAAGTTTATATTTTTTATAACCTAAATAGAGAAGCGTTTTTGTCGTATTTTGAATTTAAATAAGGTGATGGTCGTAAACGTTATAGTGACGGAAGTTAAAAACGAGTTTTATGTCAAGTGTCAGCTTTATTTTTAAAAACCCCCTTGCTCCTTATGGTTTAAAAGGAACCTTGGCCGTGAAAAATGGGCTTCGTGAACCCTCTTTCCCCTAATATTAAGCTATACGAATTAAATAAAGGGGTAGTAATGAAAACAACTGGTGTGTTATAATATGGTGCCTTATGAACAAATGTTTTAAGTGATAATAAGAAGAGCGCATATATTAATCTAGTCTAAACGATTCAAATCTGAAGTTAATAAACTTAATTTATACAAGAGTGATGATATTATTGTCTAATGCTTACATGAACTGGTGCCCAAGTGATGCTTAAACTATAAAGGGGCAGTTTAATGAAGCTGACACGGCTAAATCTTAATAAAAGGATAGTATGGAGTTGGCGACATAAGAGAAGGCGAAGAACTGTTGAGAATGGATTGTTTATTGGATGAGACATCGAACAGAATTATAGTTTACACGTGACTTACGGTAGAAAATTCCTAGTTATGAGAAAAGTGGAGCTGTCCGAAGAAAATTATGCGAGAATCAAAAATATATGAGGGCATACAACTTTCCAAAAGATCTCACCTGATTGAAATATAACAAGGTTAAATGCGTAAAATCGTTTTACCGGGATCGATAGTTGTCTTCGTAGCTCAGCAGTTAAAAGCATGGGAGCGCATACTCAAGGTCGTATACTTTATCTCTCTTTTTGTGCGGGGACTGCGCAGGCAACTTACATATGACTTTGATCTCTGTTCTAGGCTATTCAAAGGTCATGATTTAAAGTAAAGCTGTTAGACAAGTCGAGCTATTAATGGTAGCGTTATGTCAATGTTTTTGACATTTGACCGTTAGCTATATCTCGCGGCTTTCATCATAGGTAATTAATATACCCGAGCCTTCCGATAGGTAGAAATATTGATGGTCGGCGAAAGGAGTGACTTTTTTTTTCGGTCTTCCTTGGTTGTTATATAATCTCGCCTCATAAATTTCTATAGCATAAACGGGTGGTATACTAAGAAAGGTGGAGTGCACTGGAGAAAAACACTTTAACCCGTTCGATATGAAGAGTCCATTTTTTCAGGAACTTGGTTAGTATCCCGGTGGGTGGCTAACCACGTACTGTATCAAGATTTTGTAAGATATGTATATTAAAAAAATATATACTAAATGTAAGAGTTAATTGAATATGTATTATAATGTGTATAAGCAAGTAAAATAATGTAGCGTGTAAAACAAATATATAGGCACTAGTAAAAGAAATTAAGCGAGAGCATTGGAAGAAATGTTTTCTTAACAGTTTTTGATCTGTATTTATATCTTTGGAAAAGGTCAAAAAATACCTCCATACGTGTATAATAAGTTAACTTAATTCAGATTAGTTTTTATAGATTTTTACTTTGTTTAGTTCGTATCTAATTGATAAAGTGGGCTAAATTATTTTGTATGTGGTAAAAAATTAAATTCCCTTTTCTTGTATTTTTTGTTTTATGGTTAGTGTATATAATGTTTAATGTAATATGCTATTTGTGTTTGTGTTCCATGCTTTATGTTTTTGTTCTGTTTCTTTTTATGTTTTTTTTTGTTTTCCATATTTGTGTTTTGATTTGTGTTTGAAATGTTTTGTATACTGTGATATATTATAGTATTTTTTCTTGTTATACTGCACTTCTCCCTGCACTCGACTTACCAAGCATCCGTAAGACTCAATAAAAAAAAAATGGTAAGATATAATTGATGTAAAATAGTAACCATTAAAAATATGTATAGACAAATAAAAGTATATATGTATAGTTAAAAATTAAAAAAAAAGAAAATACGCCTACAATGAGAAAGACGAAGTCTTTGCTCAGTGTCTCCTAACTTGCCCGCCCTTAATATCCCTTCAAATAGGACAACTGTCCTCACACCACTTTTATCCTCTTGTAGTAAGCAATCCCGCTAAGGGAACGCTTTAACTCCGAAGAAGTACAATCAATAATTAACACCTTAACTAAAAAGTCACAAGAACCTGATGGTATAACAGACATGCTAAAAAACTAATCTCAGTTGACCATAAGCATTCTTACTCTTAAAATTAATGCCACTCTTTATCACTCTCTCGATTGAAACTGGCGATTATATTCTTATCAAACTCCGCGGACTATCGCCCAATAAGTCAAGGCGATATACTAGGCGATTACAGAATTAAGTAGAGCAAAGTCATATCACCCTTGAAAACCAATTTGAGTTCACAAGGAGCCTTTCCACAGCGCAGCAACTCTTGAGGTTCACCGAGCAAGTGACCGGGGCTTCCTAACAACTAGTCCGCATGCGCTTTTCTATTAGATATTGATAAGGCTTTCGATAGAGTTTGGTACGTGGGTCACAGCTAAAATGACCAACCTAAGAAAACTAGCTTACCTCCTCTCCTTTAGCGTATGATTTCTACAAAGTAGAAGGTTTTATACTAAAATTAAAAAGGTCTGCTCAAGTTTAATGGAACTCAGGGGAGGCGTACCAAAAGGTTCTTAATTTTCACCCATCATCTTTTCTATGTACATGGCGAACATACCCAGCCAGACCAATATTTTTTTTACAATTCGCTGATGACACAACAATCTTGGTTATTCCTAAGTCAAGTTGCTAGCAGTGAAACATGAGCAAACATGAAAGTAACAGAAGTTGTGTACGTAATTTATCGACTCCGAAGATGTGAGTTGTCACCGTAGCTCAATGGTTGAGCATGGTAGCGTACGCGAGTTCGATTCCCGTTGGTACCAATTCGCATTTTTCTGGTCGGTGGTCACGAGTACAACTTCCCTACAACAAAATCTAATAGAAAGGATCGAGCTCTGATTCGCCCAGTGCCTTCTTACTATTTACTCTTCAAAGAGAGCAGCCATAACCATTACTAAAAGATGTGTAAAAGAATAAATGTCGAATCAATTGTTATCACTAGTACGTTATTCCCTTGGCGCTCTAACATAAACTATCTTGGCATCATCTGAAGAACAGATAAAGAGCAGACGGTCTTAACGCAACCATTTTGGACGTATCACATAAAAGGCTAACCTTGAGATTAAATTACTCTATCCACATAACCGTTAGAAAAGTCACTTCTGCAAACACAACAAGGCTCAACTTAATCTCACCGCTATTAGAGCAAAGATAACCTACGCATCTTTGGCGTAGTCATATTCCCTGCCGTTATTCGGCTCCAGGTTACACACAAAAATCTATACTGAGAGCTATTTTAGGTGCGCCATTATTTGTTCCAAGCTTTATCCCTCCTCGCTACTTAAATATTGAAACCTACCCCAATTTTTTAAACGTGCAACCAAAGAGAATTATTAAAAGTTTTTGACTCGTTTTATTCCGCTACTAATTGAAGAATTAACAGGCTGTTTCGTGAGGGTATTGCATCGATCCAAACTGCTTTAAGATTATTTACATTATATCTAAATGTTAATAAAAGAGGTGAAACCTGGTTCTATTCTATAAGTACTCTGTCACAACTATATTTTAATCCAAGTAGATGGGGATCTTAGGTAAAATAACCTCTAATTATGGCTCAATTGGAAGAAATCTAGCACCTTACCCTAGTAGCCCATTAATGGCTTACCACACTTATATGCATATGTTATCGAGTGATAAACAATTGAGCAGCCTCCTAAGGAATACCTTATGAGCATGAAGTTTGAAACTTTTTCATTATTATTAATTATACATTTATTCTGTCATTTTGACTGGTGAGTAGGACTAAACAACATTATAAAATTGTGCTAGTTAGGGTGTCTTCTTATTATGCTAGAATGTTGCTAAGATTCATCAATTAAAGTGAGTTTAAGCTCAAGGAAACTTAGAGAATTTTAATAATAATCATCTTGAACTTAGATTCAACCATGGAGTCAACAGTCTGGTGGACTTTCGGAGATTTTAAGTATGGTCTTACTCTTAATGCTTACCTGTACGTAGCACCTTTTCTCAAGCTGAAAGCTGGTAATATAGATATTTTCTCTATAACATTAGGATACTTTTACTAAGGAGAAGTTCTTTGGCTCTTGCCGAGTTTTAATTTGAATTTTAATAGCAATGCAACGACAATCAAGAAGGTGTACCATAATCTTCTTTTAATTAAGCAGGTGATTAAGCGTGTTTGGTAATGGCTTTGTATTTATATTAAATAACTGACTTCTGTCGTATCTAGCTTACGGTAGGTAAACATACCATCGCACACTAAACCCAAGGGTTAAGAAGCAAACCGCTCAAAATACTTCAACCTTGAACACAGGAACTTTCCAAAAATTGGTGAAAGACAAATCCATTTAATGCTAACTCAAGGATACTATTCTATAAACTTTAAAGTTTAAGTAAAGTCTAAAAGAATGCTGTCCCCTGGCCAAACTGTCCAACTAATGACTCAGATCAAACTTGGTTTTTATTGGATTTTGATACATGCGGCGGAGTCATAACCTAGGCAAGTAATCTTAAATAGCATGGCCTTTATTTTGAAGGGTTTATTAACTAGTTGAGATTGGTTATCTTATAACTTAATGACTTACAATTATTGAAAGTATGCATAAGAATTTAAACCGTTTGAAACTGGTGGATGGGCACATCTCGTTCTGAAGTCTATACTAAGAAGTAATATTTTAAGTAGTGTGCTAACTTTGCTAATAAGTGTTAAGGCTTTCTAGTTAATCCGACTTGGCTAATGTGTTATACGATTACTGAAATAGTACTGTTGACATCGCTTTAGATGATTGTGTATCGAACAGGTTGTACGCCCTTTTTTTATATATGCACGATCTTTTTCGTGCGCTTTACGATAACGTCCTTGAACAAAAAGCAATCCTTATTTCTTTTAAGAGTGGAAAACATTGGGCAAAAGCTGCAAAAAATTGCCCACGGTCGTAAGCACTTAAGACAAGTTTACACAGGATATAGACCTTGACACCAAGTCGATTGGTCTGATGCTCCGGTGACTACCTAACTGACCATCCGATGTCAAACTTCAACAAAATTAGGGTTACAGTATTTGAGACTTTTAGAAAGAGAAGCCTGGCTGTAGCAAGTCAGAGTTATAAATGAATAAATAAAAAGAAAAAAGAGGATATCGTATGGAACGTTGTATATCGTCATCCACGCAGCGGCTAGGCGCGAAAAAGTATTAAAACAGAAAAATAAAAAAGTTGGTCTTTATTTTTTTAATTGTCAGTTGTATACATAAACTTTAATATTTTTAGATAATTGGAAAATGTTGTGGAATATTCTTATCTAACATATTTATAGGTTTTTGCTTGCTTTTAATTTCTTAGATTTCCCTCTTTGCTATTTTGAAGTTAATCTCTTTTACGTAAGCTCTGACGTATCTACTGGTTTCGCCAGATTGGTGTACTCCACGCTGACTAAAACTTAAACTGCTTTAGTCAAATAATTTTTTTGCTAAGTAAAGGTATAGTGAGAAGTAAAAAAAAAATTTTTGAAAAAAAAAGTTTATTGTTGCCGGTAAGAGGAGAACACAGCTAAAGCTTAAAGCGCAGCGCATACTTTCCGAAAGACTAACAAAACTGGGCGCAAACGCAGACTGATACAATTTCATCAAAATTTCAAGAACTTTAATATAAATGCGCTCCTATTTTGTCAAGGGAACCACATGTTATAATGAAGAATTAATGTAATAAATTTTTTAGCCTTAAATGCTTTCAGGTGGACCCTAAGCCAGTTGTACGATGAGGTTACTACAAACACTTCGCAAAGGTTAGTGCTTAATTTTCCTATTGTATAGTTCATAATTTGTTTTTATTATGTGACTGAAAGCGAGCTATTTATCGGATTAGTTAGAGAGATTCTATATAAAAAACCCACTGGCCAACTAATATATATCCAAAGAAGAACGAATATTACTTTATTTATTCTTTACAAGCTCACTTGCGCATGTACTGCAAGTACTTGTGGACACTGTCGTACACAAGAGGAATAAAAGCACTGAGACTATCGCTAATCACACATTGTAAGTAATGAACAGCCTCTTCTTCACTCAGATCTAAACGAAACCTTTCTTGAACCTTCAAAGTATACAAGTAACCGGAAGCTTTGCTGCTATTTATCTAAACATTAAAGAAAACCTTTGAAACTACTTTATCAGGCTCTATTAAGATATCCGGAAGAGTAGAGTCTTTCATAAGGGAAAAGAGATTCAGAAATAAATTGGCAGAGCGCCTTAAGATCAAAAAGGCGCTGAAACAATAAGAAAGAAATTTTTTGTAGGTCAGACTGCCGAACCCGCCCATTCCGTCCACCATTTCCTGCGAGAGCTAGAGAGTGGGCACCAGCGGAAAATGAAAGTATCTAACACAAATTATATCAAGGAAATACCCTCAAAGGCGGCGCAAAAGGTTTAGGATCCCTTCCCAGAATGTAGGCAAAATCGATGTGAAAGAGATGCCCTTCAAAATCAAGTGTTCTGTAAAGGAGGTAAGAAGAGGGGCGAGCAGGAACAAAACCCGAAGGCTTTAGTAGAACATTGTCAGGATGCCTATCGCCGACGCCCAGAAGGTACGTCATCACGCAGTAGCCAGCTAGAAGGGGGGGCGCAATATTAGCCGGTACAAATGAGTGTTGCGCAGAGCCAGTTGGCCTCTCACCGCAACTTCTGATGTACGTTTCCATGACGTCGGGAGAGACACCGTATGGAGCGGAAGGGTCCCCCTTGAATTGTTGGAAAAAGTTTATAATGGCGCCGTACGACTTGAATATCTTAATATCAAAAGAGTTATAGTTATACATCAACAAAATGCCGTTTAACATGAGTATATACGGAGGCCAGAGGCAAGGCAGTCTCGACAAACTGGACGAGGCCTATAAGAAGCAGGCGTTAAGCAAAATTAGCTTATTGGGGTTCAAGAGCATTCCGGTGTCCACGTCGGTGGCCAGTACCCTGTAAGGAGTCAACTTCAAGTCCAGTTGCTCTTTACGTAACAGCTGGGAGTATGTACAATAGTACAATTAGTTTATAACTGTAATAGGGTTTGTTGGTCTATAAGTACAAAGTGGCCATTCGGCTGACAACTAACACATATACTTATTAGTGGAAGACCTCGTCCATCAACTTGAAGAGCTGGATGGTCAACTGGTCCTGCCGCAAATCATCGCCACTTTTAAATATGATCTTGGGCTTACCCGTCAAAGCCATACAGCAACGGCTTACTCTATGAAGCAGTTACCCTGTACTTGCAGCCGTGAATAGTTAGAAAAGTCAAGCAAAGCGGCTGCATGACGCTTTTCAGAATATCTGCGGTTTCTATGGTAAACAAACCAAACAGTTAGCATAACCACAATACTGAGAAGATAAAGCAGACCACTCTCTATGCCTGTCACGGTGAGCTCGGGCGACAGCGGGAGAGAGCAGCCCTTGAAGTTTAGTAACCCACTTGACCTTAAGAGAGACTTCCGTAATTTTTCGACCTTTCTGGTACGTAGCAAGTAACAAGACACCGTGGAAGTAAAGAGAAGAAAAAAAACCTTGGAGGGGCGAGAAGTCCGCATGTCTCTCAACTTAAGGGAGAGACGTTTCAATGCGGAAATGAGTTTTCTTTGTCGACACAGATCTTTTAGGAGAGATTGGGTCCCGGGCGCCTGCAAAAAAAATCTATTATTGGCTATAATTTGGTTGCAGCGAAATTGAAGGAGGCCTTCTTTAGAGCTTTTAGAAATGTGCGGCGCACATTCTTATAAATGCGAATAGCAAATTCCCCTCCCTCCTTTCCCGTTAACTTGTCTCTGCACTGCGCATGCACGCACCTAAAAACAGCAAATGATGGACCTTTAATACATGAGCTAATGATGCAGAGACTTGAGCACCAATAGAAGGAGACGGCGAACACGTGACTCCGAAGGGAGCGTTTAATAAGAAAGCAGCACAAGTTACTACTGCCACCTTCATCACCGGGAAAATCGTACTTCAGCGCTTGCACTAGTTGCAGCAGAAACAACAGAAGATTACTGTCCGAGGCTGACTCCAGGGACGCGACAGCGTGACTGCGCACCTTTCAAAGCAGAGAAGAGAAAAGAAAAGAAAAGAGATTAAGGACTGCCCACCTCAGAATTAAAAAAAATTGTAAAAAGACCTGCGGATGGGTGAACGTCGATGAAAGCAGCTCGAGCGCGTCGTCAACCTGAATAGGCGCCCATTTGCCTAACAGCTTATCACAAAGAAGGGCGGGAAAAGAGTAGATCTAACAGCTCTAAACCAAGGGGAAAACCTTTACGGCTTGCAGGACCTCGCCTTGGTTTTCCCAGTCTACACACTTGAGAAAAAAAGTCAACGCTTTTTCCTCGCCAGCCAGGAAGTATCGGTACCGCCAGAGAAGATCTTTTTCCTTCGAGGTCAACGCTTTGGTGGGCGGTGACCTCATGGTTGCCTGTTAAATGGCTAATATATATAACTAATGCGGGTAAAAAAATAAGAAAAGTCCAACGTTTAAAATATTCCGAACGGAAGGATTAGGTTTCAGGTCCTTTCCTAAATGACCCTGTCTGCTGGAACGCGTAAGCGAGCGATGTTTTGTTTCAAACTATATTTCATATATAAAAAAAGCAGCGTAAGAAGTTCAATGTGTAACCTGAATATAAATGTACCATATTCTCTGATTGAACCTCGAGATCATATATTTTGTCCGAAATTGTCGAAGGTGAAGGGATAGTTGTTGAAACCTTGTTAAGAAAAAACAATATACTTGAAAGCACAAGAATAGTGAAGAATTTAGATTAAACGGTTTCGCCATAAAGAACTGGTAACTCAAACCAAGGAAACTCGATCTGCATACTGAAACTTTGCCCCTCCTCTGCCTGAACGGCAAAGTACACACAACGTCACAAAGTTTATTCCCTTTAAACAATATGCATATAAAAAACGTACAAGCTTGATTTTTTCAATTTTTTTGAAGGTGTACACGTCCAGCCAGTAAACCCTCTTCATTTCACCCTTTTCGTACTGCTTTAGTAACTGCATTCGTAAAGCAAAAAAGGAGGGGAAAATGTGAAAACATAGTAAAATTAAAATACTTTATTCAATCTGGACAGCAAAGTAGACGATTTTTTTAAACCCGGTGTTAATGAAGGGTATGAGCAATCGGCAACTTGGTCTTCCCACAATTCTAAACATTGACGACCTTCTCGTAGCTTTCTATATTAACCGCAAGCACTTGTTACCAGGTAATAAAGGCATTGATGAAAGCTAACCCCGAACTCTTAAATAAAGAAATCGTAGCTCCACCGACAGGTTCGTAGGCTCCAAATGTAAACATCGTATATAGAGTGAAGGCAAGACAAGCATCTCGGGGGAGCGAGTTACACTTGATAGGAAAACTAATAGTTTCGTTCCAAACTCCGCCTGGTCCTATAAAACACGACTTGGATCTCGCAGACAGGCAGAGCGGATTGTCGTTAGAAAAAAGTTTTACAAGTGCAAAAAGTTCAAAAGGAGGCTTAAAACTAATAATACGTTAAGGTAGTAAAATTTAAAGAAAAAGTATTTAAAAGTCAAACTTACGCCTGATAAAAAAGATTATTAGGAGCCTCCAAAAACTTACGAATGAAGAATTTTTCTAAGCTTAAGAAGTCCAAAGAACGCCTACAAGTACATTTATACAAAAATGCTTTTGGAGATTTTATTGACTAATAATGTTCATAAACTTTTTAGTTTATAGTTCTTAAGAATATTGACATAAATAAACGAAGACAAAAGTAAGCGTACGTATATTACAAATTTATTTTAAATTGACTGTCCAAATCACAGCTGTAAACAAACTCCAAGGTTTTTTCCTCCCCATCATCCATCGAAGGGCGATCTATCAATAAACAAAATTATAGAATTAAACCGGACCATAGCGAATCTCACGACGAGACAACTTGAGTAAGTTTAGCCAATAAAATAACAGGGTTAACTACCACAAGCAAAATTCGTATAGCTAAAAACAGGTCTAGAAGTTTGTGTTATAATTTACAGCAACACTTATATTAAGCTATACTTAATAATTAGACAAGCCCATCCAGAAGCCGTTCAAGGGGGACCTAATCCGGTGGCTTTTAAGAATGAGGGCACCTGTTACGAGGGGGCAGCATTGAGTAATTATGGAATATTAATACGCTGTTGAGAGATAGGGCAATTAGATATAAGTTTTGGGTATCCAAACAGGCATATATTACGATCTACAGTTCCATCTCTGTAAAGTATTAAAAATTATAAGCAAGACCAAACAAATTTTCATATATAAAACAGTATATAACTTTTAATATTGAATGTTAAAGGGCCTTTAGACATGTGATTCTATTTGCGGTCACGTTTCTTTTTAGGGAAGAATGTTTGTAACAGTTCGGTTGCAAAAAAAGTAGGCCATAAATATCCTTATACCCTTACAGATTGATTTGCAGCTTTTAAAAATAAATTATGTAATAAAGACAATCTGGACGCATTTTTTATGCAAGAAAACGTCGAAAAGTATACGTTATATCTAAGGAAAAGTTATTTACTCTACCGTTATAAGTTATAGGCTGTTATCTTAAAGATGTTTCATAGCCAATAAAAGAACACTTTAATCACTATTTATGGCCTCTCCTGTTTTATATAAACCTCGTTGAAACCTTTAAGGTGCAAAACTCCGGAATTTAAAATAGATATATTTTTTCTGCAAAATCACTTCTTATGTTGAAACTATACTTTTAAGTTTCAATATTTTGTTTTCAAAAATTGATTCTATATATTTCAATTAATATTTTAAAGTAAAACAGTAAAAAAGATGTTTACTGAGTTATCTAACCAAAAACAAATCTTACAGCTAGAATAAACACTTTTTTTGTTCAATAAAAAGATCACTCAACACTTGTTCAACTGAAGTTCACTGGTAGCTAAATTTACCACATTTTTATGTTTTTCTGGTTGCTGCCTAAATCGTTAGAACATGGTACTCAAACTTTCCAGCGATTGTTTCAAAGACCGAGACTGTCGTTTAGGGTCAGTTCCCATAAACCTACTCTTGCAAAATGAATCTAGGAGACTTGTGGTAAACATAGTAACAGTAACCTATAAGGGGTTAATTTAATAACAAAAACTGTTTACCTTGGTAGCCGAAAAACATTATTGAGGTCTTAAGAAAAGTTTTTTTGGAATAAATAGTAAAACATTTATATTACTAGTATTACTTGAATGTTACCGAGTTACTTTATGGATGTTAATTAAAATTCTAGATAACTATCAGTGCTCTTACCAAGGCATTATCGACGAAAACTGTTGAACTGAAGACATCTTTCGATTACGATGGAGTGAATGAGTTACGTAACAGTATCTTGCAAGTCGGGCACAACGCAAGTTTTTGCTCTGCTATCCCCATTGCATTTAACATGGCGGGGACCACCTACTATGCAGCGCACAAAAGCAATTGACAGTCCTATCAGTTATATAATTTGCTCCGAAGCACACACCGCGCGGCTGCAGACATTACCCGAGGAGACCCTGCAACACCAATCAAACTGCTTATCAAAGAAGCACTGGTCAACTTCCGGCGTAACTCCTACGGATTAGTACGTCGCTCGCTTGAGCATAAAGGCCCCCAGCAATTGCTACAATCACAACAGCTGCTGTAACCAATACGTCAGCATCTGTTTACTACATTGACTAAAAACCTGTCAACAATGCTTAAGAGACTTAAGGACCTGGAATTAATTTACAATGGTTCTTGGACCAAGAGCACCTCATTATAACCAGCCTTATTAATTCTCCTAACACTACCTATATTAACAATGTAGACAACAACACTAGAAACAACAGCAATTAATTTATATTATGAATTGATGCAGCAAAAGAGAACTGATTAGTGATTCTTAACGAGACTCCCTAATCTGGGCGTTTCATTAAAGTTGTGCAATCTCTCTACATACTGACAGCACCGGCGCACCTTCTACGGACAAAATGTAATAAACACGTGATAGCCCAATAGCCCTGCAAAGAATGATAGTTGGATTTCCTTTGCTTGGAAGAACTTCAGATCTTGACGTCATAACTATAAAGAGCCCCTCAGCGTGGAAACCACAATTGCAGGCATCCCGCTTGCGCAGTGGTGTCGGAAATTCAAACTGCTGAAACTAACCCTGAGGAGCGCGATAATGAGCATCATAGACGTTCTAAATATATTGCTGTTTTAAAAATATTCAACTTCCGAAGGCAATTTAGATTCTCTATAAACTTTTGTTGAACAATCTGCCAGTCCTGCTTAACTGCGGACTTAAAGAAAACGCCAAAGACATTTATAACTGCTTCAGGAACAGAGCTACATTCTTTGAGTCCCTTAAGGCTACCCATTCATCACATGCGGCGCTACAAAACACACTAACTGTTCCCTCAATGGATTTGAAAGTCCTGCCTCTCCGTCATCATACGATAACGCTTAACTGACTATATTAGCGCACTTGGAAAAAGCTATTGGGCGCCACAAGCCGATAACGGTCTATAACAGTTTATTATATCAAACAAAAACCGAGAGACTTCCCCCCACAATACCCGATTTTCTGGCAAAAGCCTACGTAGAGAAAGCGAGAGTTTTTTTGAGCATCTCGCTGTTTAGTTTGTGCCGCTATGTCGAGGAGCAGCTCGAGTCAACCACTACAGTCGAACTAAAGGAGAGTATTTAAGCGCTACTGAGAGGGAGGACACCTGATCCCGTCGGCGTCATCTAAGTGCTACTGAAGCAACTGCTGATGTGGGCTATGAGTCGTCCATGCTGTTTCGTCGATTCGGCGGTGTCTCCTAGGCTCCTTACCATTACGAAAAAAGACGGCTCTTCCTGTGATGCACCCGAAGAAACCGCAAATGAGCTCGACGGCAAACAAATATAGGCTTGTCATTCTTGCCAGCAGTTAGTAAAGTAGCTTGAACAGACTTAAAAAACTTCCTTTTTTTAAATTCTCACCCCACTTTAATTCCCTACTTTTATAAACAGTGGGCTACAGTACTCATAGAGGCTAACAAAAACTTCAGAACTAGAATCAAAGTAAAATATCCCCAAGTTGGGTAACAGAGAATAGAAAAGGAGCTAAACAGACGGATTAATAATTAAAAAGAAGACGTATAGTGAAGGTGGCAGAAAGAAGAAAGCTATGATTTTAGAAAAAAATTTAAAGAATGACAAGCAGCCCAATGGATAATAACTTAAATGCAGGACAAAATTCTTAGCACAAAGAATTAGAAAAACACTGATTTTTATATGAGCTCTGACCTGTATAGCCCGCAGAAAACATTTAAATTAAAAAATCGTGTTAAAGTTACTTAAATCAGCAACGCGATTATTATGTATGACAAAACAGGTGTAATTTTTAGCGTTAGCAATCCAAATAAACTTTAGGCGACCAGTATGGTAAATTTTTCGGGATCATTCACTGTAGCAGATCAGAACTCTTTTTATCTATACAATGGTAAAAATTTGTAGAAAATCGACAAAGAATAACTCACTATTTTAATCAATCTTAAATTAAACTTTTAAATAATAGGCCCGTGCACCTCGACTTTTTATTATAATTCGGTTTAAAAAATTTTACTTATTTACTCATATACAACTAATACAAACCCATTTTCTTTACTAACATTTTTAACTTGACGGCATGAGTTTACCCCCCTATTAAAGGTGATCAGCGAGCGCTTATTACTGATATTTATTAGCTATCACTGAAGATCTTAGATAAGAGTTAATTTTTACTGAAATTGAGTTGAATATACTTCAAGGAACACTTCACAAAAAAAAAGACTATAAGGCTAAAGCACTTGTTGGTGATAGGGTATGTTCAAGTACTCCATATACCACCCTTCAACTTCTAGAGAAGACCTTAAGCTCCTAACAAACTTATAATCGAGCATAGTGAACACCCAAAAGTAGTGAACCAACAGTAGCATTAATTGTGGTAAGAGATATGTTTACCTATCAATCTTAGTAAGTATATAAGTAAATATTAACGAGAAGACGGTAAAATAGGACTAAATGATTATGCCCTCGGAACTGATATACTTCCCCTCTAAGTAAAACATCTGAAAGAGGGTCTTTTTATAAGCTTGGTGATTGAAACAAGAATGAAAAATAAGTGCCACCAATAAATGCCTAGGAAAAGAAATGCATTAGATTAGCAAGGACTTACAAATAATACAAATTAAATAGTTATATCCGTCTTTACTAAAATCAGATACCCAAGTTACGATTAAATTTTCATACTGATAGGCAATAAGCTGAACTATTAGAAAACATAATTATAATATTTATTTTGGTCATGTACAAATTTGAAGGCCCCTTTACAACTAATTTTTTTGTAATATAACTTAAAAAATTTTAGTTTACTTGACCTTCTGCTAGATTACTACTCCTACTTTTATTTATTAAAAAAGAAAGTGTCAAACAACTCTTTACTGTTAATTAACAGAGAAAATTATATAAGGGCGTTACAACTTGTTTGTCTAAATTCTTTTTCACCCCTATTCAGTAGATTTTAAACCTAAACCATAAAAGATTTTAAGAACTGTTGCAAAATAAGTCTATTTGTTTCAGGATATAGCGTTATACCCACGAATTCTTAGAAGATAAATGCTTGAAAAGCGCCATAAGTGTACTTACCCCTTTAGCTATACTACTACTAACTACCCACTCTGACAGAATTTCTATCTTACTAGAACTATTAACAAACCTACTGCTGTTTAGAAACCAAATAAAACTGAAAGGAGTTAATTCTAAATAGCCATAAAGTCTTGAAGCTTTCAAAGAGACAAATTTAAACCGGCTCTCCAGCTACTTATTACATTCCCCATGAGCTGTGTATGCTTATCGCGATAAGGTGCAAGCAAAGAAAGACATATTTTTAATCCTTAGTGCTGCAGGTTAGATTTACACTACTCAAATCAAAAAAGGGCTCATTAAAGGGCTAAAAGAACAGTACTATGCATAATGAAGGATAAAATCGGTTCTTTGCAAACTTTGAAAACTTTCAAAACATTGTGGTCATTAATATAAGTAAAGGTAAATGTAAATCTAAAATCACTTGAGGAATAAAATGATTCAAGACGACTCAGAGATAGCGAAGGAGTCAGCTAATCCCTAAGAGTTTATATAATCCTATTATAAATGGAGAAGAAGAGGAGGAGAGATACTTTTATACAAAAGACTATCTCAATAAGAAAAGCTTTGGGTTACTAATACCGACCTGGGTTGCTGATAGTGAAGACATATGTTTACCCGTAGCAATAGTACGGTAGCGAAGATGCGAGCGCTGGAGTTACTATAGCATCCTAGGCCTACTACTAGTCACTGAAATTATAAATGCTCTTCTAAAAGTTGGGGTTCCTTCTGTTGTGTAAGTCCGACTAAGGAGTTTTAAATGTTTGAGATGTCTTGTAACAAACGCGTTCGAGTAAGGGCTATAATTAACTCCCTGCTAAGGTCCCCCAAGCAATTTCAGTGTGTACTTGAGCTTGCGTGAAGGTTAGTGTGGAGTAGACGGTTTTGTGTGTGCATCAGGCGAGCGGCGAAATTAATATTAAAGACAGATATTAACTTTCGCTACTTTTTATTGGCGCTATAGTTTTTATTCTTTGCGAAAAGTAATAAAGCAATCAGCGATTGAGCTCCCTATTTTTTAAAAACAGATTTAATGCATCTATGCACCACTCAGTTAAAGGAAAAGTTTTCTCTAGCAAATCACTTACAAGAGCAGTAGACATGCCTATTGTAAGTGGTAATTCTTAAGAAACGCTGATTAATTTCTATCTCTAAAACAGAGAATGAAGGAAAAAAGTGTAAGGTTTTCCGCCAGCTCTAAAAGTGGGCCACCACCTAAAAAGTGCAGGAAATCCTTTATTAATGTAAAAAGTCCTAACAAAGGGACGAAAAATTATATACAAAGTTTTACGGGGATTGAATGCCAAAAGATCGGTGACAAGCAGGGGATATTAATATGTTGCACGTGATTTTTAAGTATGAAACGATAACTGCTAATAAGCATCTAGACTGGTTTTTAAAGTTAGCGAAATCGTTGGATAACACTACATATATTATAGTAAAACTGCACAGGAAGCCAGAAGTGGTGGACTTTTTGGTTCTACATTTTATCATTAAAGTAATGGGATGGTTAAAAGGGTAAAAATTTTATTAATAGCCATGCTAATAAACTGTTCAGCAGCTTACAATTTTATAGGACTTCCTCTATAGACATAACATACTACTAAATGTACCAGGCGAGAGCCCATTGTTTATAGTGTCAAAAATGGAGAGTATGAGTTAGGTACAGGTTAGTACGCCTAAACTCGTAAAATTGTAATCAAAGGCGATTTAAAATTAAGTTCTGGGTTATAAAAAGCTCATTTAACCTCACTAACTGGAAAAAGAGAAAGGGAAAGAAAGGTTCTTATAGCAGGTTATGTGGTTTATATTGAAAAAATTGGTGGTGAACTGGATGAACATTAAGAGGAGGCCCGTCATTATTGTAAAGTTTTTAGCAGTGGGTTGTTTCAGTCAGAATGAACTGCAAAGGATGACTAGAATTAGCTGATGAAATAAAACTTTTTGAGGCGCTGAGAGGGTACGTTATTAAGCTATACATATTTAATTTCGCAACCACCAGAAACTAACTTCAAAGCCGAATGTGAACTTATAAAAGTTTTTATCTTAAAACATGGTAAAAATTAGATAGGCGGAGTTGAAAACCCAAGTAATAGTTGAATTGACTTAGAAAAAACTCCCGAGATAACATCATAAATTAGTATCAAATGAAATAGTGCCAAAGGCGACTAAAGATTTCTGCAATTTAATTTAAACTCGTTCCACCCAGAAAAGTATAACATTAGAAGAGGTGTTAACCTGCAAAAGTAATTGTAGTGTGTGCTTGAGATTGCATGGGATTTAGTGTCAAATAGGTAGTCACGTGCTTTACAAGGCGAAAACGCGACGCGATTAACATTTATAAATCGTTCGCGTTATTAATCTTCACTACCTTTTCTGTAAGTCATGGTCTTTAAACTACGCAAAAAATGAAATAGCTTACAGTAGCAGAGAAGTAGCTACAATTATTAAGGTTCCAAAAGTATTTCCGTCTTCTCGTAATATGAGTATCTATCCTCCTATCAGTCTATTGCCCTCACATGGGAAAATATACGCAATAATAATTTTAAAGGTCATAAAAGGAGGTTAACGAAACACAACCCATCCGCAAACATGCTTTGCAATTCTATGAAAAGTTAAACACTTAAATAAAGAATTTACTCGCCAATTAGTATACTTGACATCGAAAGGGAAGTCGACAAGGTGTGGCGAGGGGGGTTAATATAAATTATACTTTTTCAAAAACCCCGTAAATATATTTATATTTATAGCAAAAATTAAAGCTTGAGTAATCTAAATCTGTCCCAATTCAAAACACGTGTCAAAGTAATTGGCCTCAAGATTACCTGCTTTTTTTTATTAAAGAAAACTAATGAGTTTAAATACGAGCTAGAAGTGAATCCAGTTGCTCTTTGGCTTGGAAGTACATGTCCAAGCGAATACTGGCATACTGTACAAAAGTTATAGTTTATAATAAAATTCCAAAAACTCTGAAAAAGGAAAGCGGAACCTTCAGATATGGGAATACGATAGTTGAGCAGTCGAACTGGATGATGCTCCATAAGGCCCACAGCATATGGCACACAAGCACAAACCGGTTCGTCTCCGCGAGATACACTCTCACTTGGCACATATGATAACCATAAACGATTGGTAAAAAAAAAAAAACCATCTGGCTCGGCGTCAGAGGGCACGTCACTTAAGTATGCCTCCAAAAAGGTCCGTTGTTCAGCTAAATCTTATCATATTATTAAAACAGATATAAATAAAAGTAATCTTAGAAATATACATATGGCCGTACCAGGAAAATTTTCAAGCATTACCCGGAAAAAGGGATACTCCTGTATTCCGCTATAATCAAAGATCCTAAAAGAGAAATAAAAAATAACGCAGTAAGCATAAACAAAAAACCGTAAAATGCCTCTCGCAAAAGTGGTTGGCAAACTCAAAACCCACGTGATTATAAGCGGAGTACTCAAAATCGATTAGTTGTAAAGAACCGTCCTCCAGGCAAAGTACGTTCCCTACCAAAGATTTTTAATAATAAATAAAAGCTCAAACGCAAGAAAAACTAATAGTTCCTTGTAAAACGATATCCACAACTTAATAAATATTGCAGAGTTAACCAAAAGAAATAGTACAAAAGATCTTCAGACTATACCACCTGCGTTTACGTCGTTGTGACAAAACTTCACTGGTGTCTCCGCCAAGGACAAAATTTTTTCGACTAAAAACTCCACTTCCTGCTTAAAATCTTGGAAAAAACTATTACCTTCCAAAAAAAAAATTTATATAGAAAGTACCTATTTCCTTCATTAAGTCTAGCTGTTGAAGCTCCTTTTCATATTCTACAAGGGTCAAACGATTTTCTCTATAATATTCAGAGCCATTTTCCCTTTTATGATAGATAGTTAACTTACGATAGAATCCAAAAAAAATAAATCCCTTACATATAATAATAAAAGAAAGTGCTGAATCTTTTTATTGTAATAAATAAATATGAAATACTTGCCACATACTAATAAAATATAAAAATATAGAGATGAGAAAAAAGAAGTTAATAAAGAAAATTACAAGACGAGGCGAGCAGAAGAGTACCAACTCCTTAAAGTATTAAAGACGGAAGGAGTGCGTTCTAAGGGCATGTCAATCGCATGGAATCGTGCCAAACTCTAAAAAAAATAATAATATATAATCAAATAGAAAAGTAATTGTAAAAATTACTTTTGCTATTTTAAAAGAAATTTTTGAAAGACAAAGATCTTGCGGTTGCAGTGTCTTCGCCTCAAAAAATTCTTCTATGTGACCCTAACAATAAAAATATATAATATAATATAAATAAATAGAAATTAAAACTACACTAGGCTAATAAGTAATAGTACTTCAGTAAAAATTCCAAGAAGCTTAGGGCCGACCTTCCTTTCAGACAATATAACAAAAGACATTTCGGCTAAAAATCTAGAAAAAAATTTTTCCGTTCCCACGCCATGAATTCTTAACAAGATAGAGGCAGGATTAAGTGCTATAACTCCATTACAAATTGGGCTGAGATAACATTTAAACAGAAGATTGGTAAGACCGCCCCTGAAACAGGTATATTTATTTTTAACTTAGTAATTAAGTAGTATCATGAAAATTAATAGTAGTACTTGACAATTTCGATTTTAAAAGATTCGTAAGGGACATTATTCCAGGAGCTAAGATGTTTTATGCATAAGGTATAGGCTTGCCTTTTAAATTTTTCAGAAATTTCGTCAGTGTCCCTTGAAAAAAAAACGTCCTACACGACATGACATACTTAGCATATGAACAAAAATTTACAAAAGGGAAGAAAAAAACAATTTAAATAATTTAGCAAACGAATTATGTAGGGGTATGAAGTAAATATATGCACAAAAATATACAACCCACAACCATATTCATGTATTACTGAAATTAAAAATTGCCTAAACAACTCTACCAATAAATTATTGGGGGTTTCATGGGTGACAATACCATAAATTTATTGGCTTATTTTCCATCACATCATAATTAGAACGCCCATTATAAGGGAGGAAAAAAAATTGTTATGGAGCCCTCAAGACATCTGTTTAGTGACATTGGCAGATGCTTCGTATTCTCAGGCGCAAACTGTTTAAACTAGGCCATATAATATGTAGGAGACAGCATATTAAAATCTTGCGCTTAATAAGTTCCAGTTTGATAGAATATATAAGATCAAATATATGGGGAAAATGCCTTGAGGAGGGTGGCAGAGATGTGTGCCAATTCAGAGAGCATAGTAAAGTTTCCAAGGCCAGCAGCGTATTGATGCGTTTATACCAGTACGTAGGCAGCAAAGGTTTAAAAAAAATAATTGAGTAATACCCGAGACTGCATGTTAAGCATAGACATTCTGCTCTTTGTTTTAAGTGCCTTCGTCTCTGTTTTTGATCTTCGTTCAGACTTGATTCGCCAGCCATTGGTTATACGAGGAAACTCAAGTGTTTCGTAAAAGAGTTTAAAAAAACCTCTGCGCTTCGAAGGATAGGAAAACTTTATGTGCTTTATGTCCTGTTCTTGCCATTAGTAGATAAATGTGTTTAAATATAGACACAGACGTTAACTTATTAACTTTGTCTTTTTGACGACGTAGACATTGCTGAGTGACGGTTAGAATTTAAAGCGTGTGTATTGGCTCGGAAGGTAAGAGCTGGGCAATCTTATCCATAGCGTGTAAAGTAAAGGGAAGCTAAGAGGCCGGACTTGGCTAAAAGCGCAATGACTATACACATGGTAAAAGCATGGCCGTAGTGGGGGGTTTCTCACTCAGCGTACGCAGCTCAGGAGGCCTTCAAGTTAGACGCGTTTAAAGTACTATTAAATGTATAAAAGACAGCTTTTGTTAAGAGGTGAAAAGCTACAGTGGAGTAGAGGGGCTAAATCTGAATCTAACTTGTCATTCCTATAGTATAGCGCGCACCTTGGCAAATGTCATCATAAAACGCAACTCCCCAACATTTCTCCCGACTATCGAGAGCAAGATGATCGGCCGATATTTTTTAAAGGCCGGGGTGAGCTGTGGTGTCTTTGTCAACGACTATATGATTGTCAGTTATATTCGAAAAGAAATACAAAGTTTGCAGGGCAGGTTAGATGTCTCCTTACCTGCTGCAACTTGTTAGCATTAGTTGGTGATCTTCACATGGCCGAGTGCCCACCTCTGCGAAAGTGTAAAAAATAGAATATATTGGTGACGTCATAAGTTGTACTTGAGTTAATTAGTTCGTCCGCACCACCCAAAAGTCAAGGACGCACGCAATTGGGATGATCGACCTATTATGTATTCCTGAGACGACTTCAGGGCTGGTTCTGCGGCCGCATGGACAGCACTGATGCTTACCTAAAGGTTTTGACCCCATAATAAGAAATATATCAGAGGAAAAAGCTGCATTTGGATAGAGTAAAAGGTTCTGCTGTGGCTTTGGTTCTTCTTACTTCAGTAATGTTCTTCAGTATAGCTAGGTCAACCACTTCTGAAGCGTCTGTTGCTGGTATGTGCGTCGGTCAAAAGTATCTTAAGTTAACAATATAATAGATTTTTTGGCTTTTGTCTAGTAAATAAAATTAGTTTGTAGGACCTTTGAAGGGCTTGCGTGACTTTATAAAGTTTGTAACAAGAATGCTTGTTGTTCGATACCTAAAATCTGTATACTAAAGTGTAATCCTATTTGTATGATATCGACAAGTTCGTTAACTGGTGAGCTAGTGGGTTAAGTGGAAAAGTAATTATCAAATTACTGAGACCTTATATTATTATGTTTAAAGAAAATAAGCAAACGGCAAAAACTGTTGAAGAGATATATAATCCCTTAAATTTTGAAATGGATATATTAGCATATCATAAATATATTATACAATTTTTGCAAATTAATATATATTTTTAAAAGCTAGAGGACCTATCTGCTGTTTAACCTTTTACAAACATTTTTTGCAAGCTCTTGAATATTTTTCTGTATAAGTAGTAAAGAGTTTCCTCTAAAAGGTCTTAAGTAGTATCCCTCTACTATTAAGTGCACTTTTTAAGCGTTTTATTTCCGTATTCACCAGCTTTAGTCAGTTTTATTTTTTTAATGTTTGAAATGAAGAGTATTATAAATAAAATTACTATGGCGCTTTTATTAAAGGAAAATACTTTATAAAAACAAAAGTTACATCCGTAACGTAATATTTTTAAACGATCTTATATCCACAAAATTTTCCACATAAAAATCATTATATAGTCACCCTGGACTTATACTAATAGTAACGAACTTTAATTAACAAAAACATTAATAATTTAAAATGAAACGCATTTAAACCAATTAAGAACTACATAAAGTAGTATACAACTATTTAATAAATTACATCAAAATATCCAAAAACGAGATAAAAGCAATATAATTAGGCTTAAAAGGAAGATAAGCAAACAGTTGGACTATTACAGGAAAATCTATAACAGTAAATCTGTGTCTATTAAAGAATATATAATTTTATTTAAAGTCAATTAAATTAATTAAAAACAGTTTACAAATATTTAATAAACAACAAAATAAAAGCGAAATAGGAATGGAAGGCAAGGCGCACACATAATAAGCAAATTAATAACGGCATATTTAGAGCATATGACAAACAAATTTAAGTTTATTTTAAATTTTCTTTAGTAAAGTTGTATAAGTAGACTAAACATAATATTTAAAAAAATAATAGTTGCTGGTTTTCCTCTGGTCAGAAATAACGCCAAGGTATTTACTTAGTTGCACCAAGGATAGAATGTTTGCGAGAGCTTTAGTGTTTCCCTTTTTAGCTTTTTCTTAAGATGATAATCGCATGCATTGGGTAAAGTTTAGAGTAATATTCCACTTTACAAACCATATTTCAAGTGTATAAAGATAAGCCAGCACATATTTAACAGTTAATGCAGTTGCTTTTAAACTACGATGTATGGGAGTGTCGTCCGCGTATAGAGCTAGGAAGGCTACGTTGGTAAGGGAGAGAATGTTGTATGCATATAAGGAGAATAATAAAGGTGACAGTAAAGAACCCCATGGGACTACAGCTTATAGAATCTTGGAGGAAGTGAAGCCTTCTCCTAAACTTACCACTAATTATCTATTATAAAGGGATGAATAAGCACTCGCATAAGGTATTCTGGCAACTTGTATATACTTAAAAATAAGCCCTTCATGCCAAACTCTATCAAAAACATTTTTAATGTCTAACATGACCATAATTGTTAATTTCTTTTAATTTTAGTTATTTGTATTGGTTCTCTACGATCTTTAAAATCCAGCAGTAATTCTTTTCATTCTTCATTTTGGCAATTAAGTAGTAATAGATCTGCATTCGGCATCCAAACATATAATGACACCTTAACAAATATATAAAATCATCTTACCGAGATCGCGAAGTTGTCATCGTAGCTCAGCGTTTGAGAGCGTAGACGCGCATACTCAAGGTCGTGGGTTTGAGTCCCACCGACTTGAATCTTTTTTTACGGTCTCTGTTGGTTGCGTGCTTAACCTTGCCCTCAAATTTCTAATTTATATGGGAAAGCCATGTAAGGTAAAAGCCCATAACTCGATGTATGTTGTTAAACCTTTTATTTGAAGGTATTAAAATTGCCACCAATTATAGAGTCTTGTTTAGCTTCGTTAAATGAACCATACCTAGTATTGCATTAGTAAACCACGAGATTAAACTCTATAATTTCATATATAGAAACTGCGTGGTTTAAACTTAAAGATCTTACAGGAAGGTAATAATTATAAGAATCTGTTTAGTCTTAACTTTTAAATAGTGTAAGGTTTTTTTAATAAATTAGCAGAGGTTTATAGAGTTGTATTCTGTTATTTGACAACTTCTCTTAGATTGTTTTATTTTATCTTAAACTGTAATTAGTATATCACAGATCCTGCACAGATTAACTGTTGGTGTTAATTTATAACCATAGATAGCTCAGTCTAAAAATTTTAACAGAAGGTTTGACTATATTCAAACTAACTTTCCTTCTTAGCATTTTACACCTCAAGCATATTAGGCGATGAGCCTTTTTTTTTTATATGGTTAAATAATGGGAAAAAAACTCATTATGTGTATTTTTTAACTAGTATAATGCTGTCATCTTGCTTAAGATTTATAAAGCAAAAGTTTAAAGGTATTCTTAGCACTACTACGGTTGAATTTTTTTTTAAGATTTTAACCGCTTAATCTGTATCATTTTCTCTATAAGGGGTTGGGGCGCCAATGCCAAGCAGTTTTCTTAAGGGAGTATCGTGGTTACTTCAAAAAACTGTAAAATAGCGGACCTAAGGTATAAAACCGTCAAGAGGCTTCAATGAAAGAGGTGACTCCAGAACCGACTCGAAGACGCCCAACTATTAGCTTCTTACTTCGGCGGTGGAAGGTTAAGGAGGATGAAAGGCTTTGTTGTGCTGAATGATATAAATATATTTTTTTTAAAGTAATAAGGAAAAAGTTTGCAATTTCAACCTGCGAGCGTAAAGAACCCGTTTTCGAACCCATTGATAAAGATAACCTTTCATATGACTAACCTGACCTAATCAATTGCTATTGTCTTGTTGCTTTTATACATATCTTTAAATCTTTTGATTTTTAATATTTTCGTAGTAATTTCTAGTTTCACCTCTATTCAGTGGTGTAACTATACTAATCTGACATGCTTCTAGCTTGTGTCGAAAAAAAACATTTTTCTTTACGATAAGGTTGTAAATTATTACTAATTACCGCGTGCTCTTATCGAATGCTGGCGCCAAGGTTTTTCCGAGCTTTGTTTCCGCTTCTGTTTTGTTAACAATTAATCGCAAAGCAGGCAGAGACTGAGTAATTATTTGATGGCCATTGGTGGATTAGTTTACTTTCAACAGTTACAAAAAAACTACTAAGCAATTTACTGTGAAGGAAAAAATCCCAGTTCATATCTACGCAGATTGCCTTTTTGAAGCAATTCTTATGTTTATTTAAAAGATTATTCTACCACCTTAAATTTTATATTCTAGAAATGTCCGCTTGCAGTAAACAGTTACTAGCATTTACTTTTTTTTTGTCTGCCTTTTGTTTTGGTCATGCTCGCGAGTCTGCGCTTTATATATATATATATATATAAATTCAGTTAAATTTATACTGTTAAAAGGTTTAAATAGCCTAACATTTATAAGCAGTTTATTTTAGTATATAAACATTTTTCTGTGATAGAAAACATTATTAAAAAAAAAACTAACAAGTAGACTTATGTATATATAAATGAAATTGTTAACTTTAAAAAAAGCTCTAGATACTTAATTTAAAAATAGCCTGTCTCTGCCTTTTCCACACTTTTTATTTATTTATTGCTCCTTAGTACGTAGTTCTCACTGTAATACTTATATGCGTCTTGAATTACATATTGAAGTCTGATTTAGTTAATTGCTTAACTCTATTTGCACCTGGAGTAGTTGATTCTTCAGAAGTGCGCAGTGTTACGATAACAGTCCAGTTATAACCCCCCTTTCGAGCGACCTAAAAGCAGCTTACCCGTATTATAGAAATTTGTTTTATTTTCTGTAGCTATTATAAACCTCGGTAGCCCGTTTAAAGGGCGCTTATACTCAATATAAATCAAAGGCTGCCACCTACATAATTCAAGCTACCGCATAAAGTTATAAAGTCTCTAGCAGCAAAATAGCAGTTAAACTTCCTATCATTACAAAATCATGGTGCATAAGTTTCTAAAGAGTGATAAACCTTACGGTTTTAAATATGCTTTATGAACCTCTAGGGCAAATAGACTTCACTATGACCTGTTTACTGGTTCGGCGTTTTTCATCTTTAGCCTTTAGAGTGGAACAAGCTAATTTGTAGGTTGGAGTGTTAGTTAGTATCGTTTTATTAAGGTGGACCCTTAAACATTCTTCTAGATCGATGCTTTAAGCTGAGCTTCAATTCTGTCTATATATCGCAAAAATTATTATAGCAGTACGCTTTCTGTATTTAGTTAACATTGGTTATATTTCTTAGCACGAGTGCAACTGTACACAGCCCGCTCGTTACCTTAGAGTACTATGCCAGTAATTAGAAATTATAAACGCTTTTATTTATATAGAAAAAGCGTAGCAAAAGGTGTAGTGTTGGTCCATTCCATTTTGTTACTATAAAACATATATTTTTAATAGTTACAATATATATATAAATTATAGCAAATATAAAAGTAATGAACTTTAAATGAAGAATTTTTATAAATCGGGGTTCCATAAATACTTATACAACGTGGCAGCTATTACTCTAAAAACAATAAAGAAGAAGAAGCTAATCAGAAAGGACCACCATACAAGTTCAGTGTGAATACCTGGTGATACAGAAAAAAAATTTATAGTAGAAAGGTAGTACATATAAAAGAGTCTTATCTATTATGGCAATTTAACTGTACTAAAACCAAAGCATTAAACATACTTATTGTCATACCCGACGCCCCCTGAACTTTACATAACAGATTTGTTTTAGAAGGATAAAGAATACCAAAAAGTTTTAAAGACTGACTGAGGACTCTTAAAAAACTCGTTTTCTGAGCCGGAAAAATTGAGAAGTGGCGAAGATCTGGGACGAACGAATTGAGCGTTTATATAATACACAACAGCGTAGTGTCGACTCACCATTGCAATGCAGGCCTGCCAGGAATAATAGTAAAAGCTCAAGTAGTTTAGCCAAGAAAGCCAGATGGGAGACGTCCCTGTGTTCACCAAGAAGCCGCCAAAGAGAACAAAAACTGCGATGACCGCCTGTAGGTAAGTTGTGAAAACTCAACTATTGAGCTGCCAGGCTCTGCAAAGGGCATATGCGACAGCTTACCACAGTCAAGCCGTTAGCAGTGGCCGCGGTGTCACACGCGGCACTCAAAAACAGCATAAAGCTGTCAGTGCACAAAAACAGAAATACCATTTGACAGAGAATAAAAAGCCAGACAGAAGCTTTGGCGCTGTAATAAACCTTTTCAAGAGTAAAATCAGTACAATTTCTAAAAACTGTAGGCCTGTATGCTTACCATGGAACAGTTAACAGCCCCAAAGAGCATCACCAAGATAATAGTTTCCACAATAAATGGGAGGGGCATGGCAATTAAAAAAGGGGCTGTACCTACACGAACAAGGAAAGTTAGATGCGCTAATTATCATTAAAGAGCGGCTGCTTACTGTAAATGTTATCGCTCCTATCCAACTTGTAAATGGCTCTATCTTCGATTAGCTTTGGAAGACGGTCAAGGGTCAAGATCATTATTAGGAGCAAAGCAGTAAATATTGAGGCAATATAACGTAGAGCCTGACCAGCGATAAAATAGGTCCCGTTTATAAAGATCAAGCCTGCAGAGTTTGAGAATAAAAAGATAAAGAAAAATAAGATGCTTTTCCCACTAACTTAAAGGAAATTGTAATTCCTGTAAGTGCGCTGGCAATCACGTAGGTGACGAGCCTACGAAGGCTTGTCCGCCACTCCCTGAAGTGCAGCAGCCAGTGAACCCAAAGAAGCACCCGCAGCTGAAAGCAATAACCGCGGACAAAAGCTGGAAGAACATAAGAGATTGAACACAGTAAAATGCAGACGGTTGCTCATAGCAATACTGCTTTTCCTTAATGAATTCTTCTTTTCTCGGGCAAACCATGTTTCTAAAGATGAATTTCTGCACCGAATAATTTCTGACTCGACCTAAAACGCTTAAAGAGCAAAATACGTTAACAAAATACCAAATATAATAGTACACTGCCTGCCAGATCACTTTTATAACGCTCTATAAGGTAGTTAATTTTATCTTCGGGAAAACAATCCCTGGTGACCAAATCAAGAACAAAGTCAGCAAAGTTTTCGTTGGGAGGCAAGCTAAAGCCCAAGCCGGAAAAGTAGGTAAGAGCCTCACGCGTAGGCCCGCTATTTTGAAAAGAGGGCACTTAGGTTTCAACCTTAAAGTAAAGGGCAGTATCGAACCTATACACCTGATGGCCGGTGGAGGTCAAGAGGATCAGCTCGTCAAACTTAGCAAAAACGCCGAACCGTGGCTGGTGTATTACCGATACAACCAAAGCTCCTATGTAAAAGTAAGGTGAGCGGAGCGTCGCCCTCCCGCAGCTCATATACCACCAGTATCATCGGCAATTTTCCGCAAGCACTCCACTAGTATTAGAGAGTCCGTACTAGACAAGCCACTCGTCGGCTCTATTATAATAAAGGTATGAAAAAAAGAGTGACCATCTGAACGTACCGTCTAAAAAGATGATTTGTGGTTGAGCGATAAGAGCTATTCCGATGGCCAAGCGCTTCTTTTGTCCGCCTGCGGAAAAATTGCGCCAGGAAGAAAGAAATGAACCCAAAGCCACAGGGCGAAAAACCTGAAATGCCTCGGGACTGTTCGTTTCCGACAAATGAGTCGGCGCACGTGTCTAAATGTAAATTCTTTAAAAGCCTACAAAGTAACAGTAAAGACCAAACTTAATAAAAATAACTGAATGATCCAGGAGTACCAAATAACTCGGTCGTGGGCTTCATGACCGACAAGCCTTGTTTTTAGAACTGTGTAGAAAAAAAGAGTTTCCCTCACTGTTAACTTTGAACGAAGGCACTCATTCTGAGGGACCTTAGGTGCAGGAAAGGTTAGCACTTACTTTTAATAAAAAAAATAAATAGATTACAAAACTTGAAATACTGCGCAGAATTTTATCATCCTTTGCATGGTTATTCAAGTAAAAACTTCCTGCATATTTACGGTGCTTTTTTCCCGCTAACATAGAGAGCAACGTTGACTTTCCGCAACCCGAAGGCCCTTAAAGTATATAAAATTATATATAGGCTTTTTTAAGTGTAAATAATAATGGAGGTATAGTGTATTTAGTGTAAACAGGCGCACCCATTATGGCAACAAGTTGCCCTGAATGTAAAACCCCATGGCAACAAGAAAGAATTAACTTGTTTTTTACTTGAAAACTTGCATCTTTGAAGGTATAGGAAATAGCTAACGTTAAGAAATTGAGTTAAAGATATTCCATGTGTTATAAAAAAGTAAGGTTTACCTGTCCTACGCGCTTTCCCTTTGTTAATAGAACAATTGACAACTGTGCTCTGTTTTATTAAAATGTCTGGTTTACTAGAACTTCCAGTTTAAGTAAATTTCTTAAGACCTTACTGTCTTCCCTCACACCTTTAATATCCACACTTAAATCGTTTTTTAAAGCTCTACTTTCGCCTTAATAGTAAGGCAGAGTATAGTGAAAAGACTTAAAAATAAAAATAAACAAAACCTTCTTTGTCAGATTTTAAGTCTTTATTATTGTCTCCAGCAGATAAACGTTTCTAAAATGAAAGAAATTGCTTTTTAATTCCAAAAATTATACCATACTAAATAAGTTTAAGTAAAAAGATTTTAAGAAACCTTATTCTGTTTATAACTAAAGAAATCAAAGTTTGAGTTGCTAAAATTATCTATTTTTAGCAACTTGTAGTGGGGATGAGTTAACTGAAAAGCTTCTAAAACTGAGGAGTGCACTTTGGATTGTGGACCAAATTTACGACTTTCCAGATCCCTATTTTTTGAGCAAGGATAGCTACTTGCTTGACGTAAACCTTCTTCTTCAACGTTTTTTTTAGTTTTCTGAAATGGTTGAAAATCTTTTTGCGTCAGCTGCTCTTTATTGTCAGAGGCCAGGGTCATATTTTCAAAGGACATAAGTTTATAATATCACTTTCTTCACTCTTTTAATAAACGTAGAGGTTAAAAACTCAACAAAATATAAACTTTCTTTCATAGCTAGAAAGTTATGGAATACAAAAAAAAATCAAGTAGATGTAGATAACTAAAGAGATAATCAAATAACACAGGTCCGCAAAAATAATTTTTTTTCCAATGCAATGAGTATTTCTGACAAACTTTGCGTTCTCTGGGATGCTGAATGCAAGATGACCTACATTTCCCCCTATCCCGTGCGGTTTTTTGCAAAAGAATAGGGTTTCCTATAAAAAATCATAAAAGCGATGATAAAAATTACAATTTTATTATATTGAACTTAACATAATATCCCGTGTTCACGCTATTTGCCTGTAAACCTTTTCTTCTTCTCTTAGACACCCCCCTGCATACCCTTTCGCTTTTCATTTTCCTTTTCCCGCTTGATCATACAGCGGTGGTCAATTAACATATTTGCATTCCATCTTCCTTGGAAGCACCTTTTGATATCACGAACATTTTGGTAAACTCTAAACTCGCTTACCCTGCTCTTCACTATAGGCACCCAAGTTTGGGGATATAGGCGACATGGGGCTTTTTTAGCTCATCTTGCAACCTTGATCTTTGTATGCAGTCAACTTCCGTTGTACATTGGTTTTGTAAAGAGGGTCTGTAGTGTTCCTCAAAAACTTGGCATTACTTCTTTGAAGCATTCTTATGCTTTTTTTTCCTTTTTCTCCCATTGTTTTAAAAAAGAGGATAGATTAACAATTTTTAGTGTCGGGACTATAAAAACCCCCTATGTTAACTCGGCTTCAGACCGTTTTATAAACTTAAAGCCCGTGCGGAAACATTCTTCATTTTTTTATGGTGATATTGCAAACTACGTCATGAAACCTTTCTTAAATATGAAGAGGTGGTAATAAAACCTTTTCAGGTGGAACCAATGTTGTATTTTACGTTTTTTTACCGGGGAGTAGGGCATCACTCGACGGGGCCAATTTTATTTTTGTTTAAAGAAAGTCATTGGCTCGAGTGCCCCACAGGCATAAGAAGAAGTTACGCTTTGTATAACCTGCATGCTCTCCCAAAAACATGTGAACACTTTGAAGTCTTAACAAACCATCCAGTGATGTTCTTGATAGTTGACTTTCTCAAGGTACATAGTTTTCTTCCAAATGCACCGAGTATCCCATAGGAGTTGACGTATATGTATTTCATTATGCAGCAGACTACTTTAAGGCTTGTTTAAAACGAATCAAAGATATTGCGCCTCTTCTTAATCTCTTTCTAAAATTTCTTGATTCGTTGAACGTCAATTCAAAAAACGAAGAAAAATTGAGTGTTTTCCTTCTTTCGGTACCTGTACCACGAGATTAATGTTCCAATTTAGCTGCCTCTTTGGAAAGGCCTAAATTTATAACTAAGGCATTAAGCTCACTGAGGAAAAAGGTTGGGATCCTCAGCAACATAAAAATCCGAGGCTGGATCCGGATCATTCTGTATATCATCCAAACTAAAAGGTGGGAGGGTTACTAATACTTCTGAGCTATGTAGCTCTTCGACGAATAACTAAATTAAGGTTTTGTTAAGATATTTTCTTTTTATTAATAAGATTAAAGCCTTTTATATCTACCGAACAAAAATAATAACCCATCGTGTGGTTTTGCTATTCACACTACGTATGCCAAAAAGGATATTGTTTTATTAATAACTTTTGCGGATGCTTGGGAAGTCGAGTGTTAAACGCTTATCCTTCATTCGGGCGCAAGCAGGCACCCTTACATCTCCAGGAAGAGTCTCCAGACAAGTTCCGGGAAATTTGACTTCTCAGATCAAATGGGTTACGCGAACAAAGGCCTTTTCAACCTCGAGAAAGACGGCGATTTCTGGAAACTGAAATTCCGGATGTGTCGTCGAGTGGTCTCTTCAGAATCCAAATTGGTTCTGGAAGCGCTTTGAGTATCTACAAACTCTTCCAGTCTGTGTGGTAGAACCGCCTCCACGGTTTTGCTTACCGCTGAAAGAAAGCCTATGAGGCGATATTTGCTGGGATCCGCTGAAGCCCGCAGAGTCTTAGGTAGCATCGCGACCTGACCGCTTTCCATCGCGTTGTTAAGGAGCCAAGTGACATTGCAGAAGGTTGCTAAACAAGAGAGATGGTTAATCGCCGTCGGCGGTAGCTTTTTAGCAATAGGTTAGTAATACCGTCGGGTCCGGGTGCCCTCCCTCCTGAAAGTGCAGAAGCTATATAAGGGATTTCTTCCGGTGAACTCAGTTTAATAAGTCCGTCAACAATAATGAGGAGAGTCCTGCGGTGTCTTGTTTCGCCCTCAAAGGTTGCCCAAGTTGGAGATACGGATTACTGAGCAGCTAGATGTTCGGCAAAGAGCATCGCCTTGTTTTCTTAGCTCGCTTTCCGCCACTATCACGCCATTATCAAGTGGCGAAGGTGGTGTGTGGCAATGGTTTTTGATACGTTTAATGAAGCGCCAAGAAGGTGGCCGTGCTTCCTCTGCCGCTACAGACATGTCCGGTAGCTTCGCCTCCAGTAATTACTGTGAAAGGCGGCCAGCTCCCTTCTAATGTGGCAGTGAAGACGGTTTAGAATCAGTTTGTCATCGAGGTTTTGTGTAGCGGCGGCTAGACGTATTTACCGGAGACGTTTGACGAATATGCTCCTCAATACGGTAGGCGGCCAGGGCGATACGCGATTTCGTGGCTGGTTGTCGCGGCAGTATGGGCATCTGTCAGTGCGCCCTCAAAACTATCAACTGCATCTTCTAAAAGAGAGAGGGTCGGAGGGTAACACAACAATAACACAGTATACACAACACCCTAAGACACAATTTAAATTACAAGACACAAAAACACAATATACACAATATATGGGAAACACAAAACAAAAGTAAACAGAATACAGTAACATATTGGAAAATG